GGGGAGAGAGAGAGAGAGAGGGGGAGAGAGGGGGGAAGGGGGGGGGGGAGAGAGAGAGAGAGAAAAGGCTTTGTTTTTTTGAAATAATTTTATTAAACTCATCATAGTATAAAATACAAATGAATATGAAAATAATGGGAAAATGGGGGGGAGGGAAAGGGGAAAGAGAGAAATGTATGGTGAAGGAGAAAAAGAAAGAAAAGTATTGACTTCTGAGAAGTGAAGAAGCTTCTTGGATGAGAAGTGAAACATCTTCAAAGAAAAACCAGAAAGTCCAGTTGCCTCTTGAAAAAAAAGCACCTTTGGGACATTGACTCCGCTCCCCCAAAAAATCTAAAGCACAACATCCCGAAGTGGTTTCCAAGCAGAAACAAAATATATTCTTTTCTTTTATTAGAGCAGGCAATTTAGCCATCTATGTTAATTCCATCAGTTTTTCCAGTCATTCATCCATTGTTGGTCTGTATAACTTTCTGGGTTCTCATTTCATTTTAGTGAGTCTGTGCTGCAATCCGATCTCTTTAGTGACAGATATGGTTCTACAAGTTTCTGCAGGTGTGCACTAATGTGCTAGAAATACTTTGTGTTTTTGAAAAGCAGAGAGAATTCCCTGCACTGTGCAGTGTCAAATTGTCAGAGGGATAGTTTTTTTCTGTCTATATGTTTTAAGATTGATTTCAAAAACAGTTTAGCCCAGTGTAGGGGTTAGTCTGATTCAGAATGCATTTCTGACTGTCTTAAAGCTTTGTGCCCACTAGTTTAGCTGGACTTCTGCCTTGACTTTCCTGGTGCCAGGGTTTAGACAAAAGTTCAAGTGCTCGTTTAAAATTTAATTTATTATACAGTTGAACACAGACATCTAGAAAAGACAGGAAATCGGAAACTGGTACCTGCAGGGAAGAGACTTACCTGCTTTCTTTACCCTTCACTCAATAGCAGTTTCTTATACTCAGTGTTTATGGTTTGGGGCAAGAGATGAGGAGAATTCAATTTCTAGCCAGGTTGGAAATGCTCCAAAGAGCATCAAGGTGGGCAAACTTTAAGCTTACCAAAGTGTGTTAGTATTGTTAGGAAAAATTAAAGGGGGGTGGGTTGGGACCACCCCCCTGACCTGCCCGTTCCTTCTTACTGGTTTGCAGCTGCTGCTGACATTCTGGCTTTAACACTGACAAAAATCTTTATAGTTTAGTCTTGCATCAAATTGGTAAAGGTCAGAAGCAGAAAAGAAAGTTGGAAGGAATCTGAGTAGATGTAGATATCTGCAAAGGCTCCCCTACTAAAAGATCTCTATATAATTAGTGGTTATCTTGTTCGTATGCTCCTTTTTCTTTCTTTCCGCCATTTCACATTATGGTCAGAAGGACAGAAGGAACATTAGCGAGACAAGATGGTAGGCTTCTTACTGGAAGAACCTCAAAATTCCCCTTCATTTAGTAGCTTTTTGAATCAGCACTACTGAGGGGAGTGCATATTTTTTGTTTCCCTCGTCAGGTATGAACTAGGCTTGGTAACAATGCCTTCTAGGGCTAAATAGTTTGGCATTCAGAGATAAATATGAACTGTGAGAAACAGCATCTGACTTACACAAAAAGCTCTTTGTAATAGCATAGGCAGAGCTGGAAAGTAATCTTGCAAACAAGCCAAAATGGAACTTGTTCTCTGCCAAATTAGGCTGAAAGAGACACAATGTAAGGAAGAAATGACTGTGAGAAACAACTACAGGACAACAGCAGCAGCTGTCATTCTATTAAAACCAGGTTTTCTTTACATTCTAGGTCCATGGGCGTTGTATATGCCAACACAATACTGCTGGGCCAAACTGTGATCACTGTGCATCTTTTTACAATGATCAGCCATGGAAACCTGCTGAAGATGATAATCCTAATGAATGTCATAGTATGTATGCCTATCTGATTTCCCAGGAAAATATTTATTTAATAAAGCTTTCCAAAAATAAAGATATTTAGTATTCCTAAATATATTGGCACACGTTATAATTTCAGAAAACTTTGCAAGTATTACTTGTATGATTTACAAAATCAGAAAAAGGGAAGATCAGGAAAAGATAACTGAACATAGATATAACCAACATTTAAAACTTTCAGAATGCTGAGATATATTAGAAAAATATGTTCAGAAAACCTATTAGAGTAGTTATATTAATTACAATATATATTTCCTTAGTGATTATTGAAAAAGGAATGAATAGGTAAAAGTTAGAAATCAACAAAATGCACCTGTTAGTTCAGTAGAAACACAAATTCAAGTTAGGTGCTTAAAACAATCACCAAAAATTGGTACCAAGGATTAAAACATGTGAATGTATGTAAAGTTATACATATTTTAATAAATGTATTTATTGTAGGGTTATTATATTTAGCTGCAACATTCTAGATAAGCATAAGATGGCAACAGAGATTTCTGTATATGGGCTTCAATCTTGTGTGATCCAGATATCTGTAGCCTAGATCTAATAACCCTAATACATAGATTTTTCTCTGATAGGTTTTTTTTAGCTTCTATTATTGATAAAGAGACCAAAGCGCCATCTAGTGGTAAAATTGAAAAGTTAAAAACACCATTCTTTTTATTCAGCATCACATGAGTTGTTACTTTCTTTTCTCTTTTAGGATGCAATTGTAATGGACATTCCCACAAATGCCATTTTGACCAAAGTGTATATCAAGCAAATGGGGGAAAGAGTGGGGGTGTATGTGAAGATTGCCAGCACAACACAGAAGGGAGGAACTGTGAATTGTGCAAAATAAACTTCTTTCGTAACCGGCAGTTTGATCTTGGCCATCCAGAGGTCTGTCTCCGTAAGTGATACTTAAGCCTTCTTTCAATTTCATAACACATTTCCCCAGAATAGGTTTTATTGATAAAAACTTCAAAAAACCCCACTTACTTTTTATTGCTTTATAAGTTCTTATTTAATTATTCAAAGCAAACAAGCAAAAGAATGGCAAAGGAAATAGAAATATAAAATTCTAGGAAGTTCTTGGCAAAGTGATTTTTTTTTTCTCTTAAGTAACTCTGTAGAAACCTGAATACTGAAGGTTGCTGATAATATATTGAATTTGTGATGAGAATCCACTAATTGCTTCTTTCTGAAGACAGTTTTCAGATTTTCTTAGGAAATAAGGATGATTTGAACTGAATTAAGCCTGAAAAATAAATACAGTCAAGATTCCTTCTATATATTCCTGTTTCTTTTTCTTTCACCTTTCTTCTTTAGAACAAATTTTAGGTTAGTTTAATTGTTGATGAGGTTTTTTAGGGGGAAATTTTGTTTTTATTTTTCACTTTTAGTATCCTGCTTTGTTGGTCGCATAACAGAAAAGTATTAGTTTCCTTTTGCTCCAATTCAGCTCCTTGCTAAAAAAATTCTATCGCAAAACAAAATGAATTCAAAAATACCCTGGCCTAATTTGAGAAATGTGGTGCACCAATTACAATAAAAGAGAGAGGAAACCAAATGTAGTTACTGTCCACTGACTAACTTGTGAATCCCATTTATTTATTTATTCATATGCTGTTTCCACTCCAACAGTATGGGCCAATTTTAAATCACTATCATATAGATCACTACTGGTTGTTCTTAACAGTAACTAAGAATAGTTGCAGAATGGAGTGGAAACACATCAGGCAAGAGGAGTGTGAATCACCAGCATTCCTGCTAATTGGCTAATTCTCCCCAAAAAGGGAAATGTGTAATAAAATGTATTTTATGTTGCCAACTCAGTCCTGCTTTTATTACGGATCTAGATGGGCTCAGGATCATAATCCATTTTGCCATTGGTCACCTGCCTACTTTGCTTCCTTTGTTAGTTTTTTTAAAATTAAGATTAGAAGTTTTAAAGAAGAGATTAGATAACCATTTGTCTGAAGTGGTTTAGGGTTTCCTGCCAAGCAGGGGGTTGGACTAGAAGACCTCCAGGGTCCCTTCCAACTCTATTTTTTATTCTAGAAGATACACGAAGAGTAACACTACTGCACTCTGGAATGCATATTATAATATCAGTAAATCTTTATCAATGATAAGTGAAACATCTTTGGCTCTATTTCAATTCATTATTATTGTCTATGTTTTGGTCTGCAAAGCTTGAACATGTTCCATATCAGAGTTGGGTTTTTTTTTTTAAAAAAAAAAACAAGAATATGCAGTCACATTTACACCTTAGAAGGGCAAGTAAAACAACAAAGGGATATTTTAAGAGAAATTAAGAATAATAAATTCCCGTATAAAATTCCAAACTGTTCTTTAGTTTGATGTTGTTTCAATGATAGGGCTGCAATTTCTAAAAAAAGTTATAGTTTTCTTTCTTTTCAGCTTGTGAGTGTGATCCAGATGGCACCGTTCCTGATTCTAGCTGTGATCGCATGAATGGTCGTTGCGTCTGTAAGGACAACGTGCAAGGAGACCGTTGTCATCTTTGCAAACCTGGATTTACTCAGTTGACCAACTCTAACCCCAAAGGTTGCAGAGGTAGGTTGAAGCCTGAAATAGATCAAGAGGATTTATTGCAATCTAAATGACTTGAATCATTTCATGGGGTGGCATTAGAAGACATGACAAACCAATACGCCCACATTTTGCCAAGATGCTGGCCTTATCCTCAGCATATGATATAAATAGTATAATACTGATCACTTGTGTGTTACAAATGTACAGTATGTGGAGAAAGCTTTAAGACTTATAAATCTTTTCATTAGGAACAGAAGGAAAATAATTTCATGGTTCAAATTTTAAGATGTAGTACTCCAGGAGATATCAGGAGGCATGTAAGGTTTAGGTTATCCTATGAATTACTGACAAAAGGAAGTTGTTGAGTCTTCTATTTATTAATGTTAAAATCTAGAGTGACTTGGATTTGTTTCCAGCATTAGATAAAATACAGACACATTCCTTATAGAATGTTCTGTATATTTTAAAAAGTACAGTTCTTTATTGGGGAGAAATTGACCCTTTTGATTTCCCTTTTCTATATTTTCAGTTATTTTTAGCTCATTGGCAGTTTAGAAAGTTAAAATAGGCGAGATTAGAAAATTAAATTTTGCTTATGAGATTGTGTGTACTCCCTTAATGAGTTTGCAATTATATGATAAATATAGAAGGAACTGTGGATACTGAAGCCCACTTCAAGAAAAGATGACCTATTTTTTCACATAACCAGTTCAAATGATTAAATTGGAACTTTACACTAAACCAGCATGCTTAATAAGATTGTGAAAAGAAAAAGAAAGAGGAAAAGGCACAGATAGTTATTGGTTAATAACTACAACTGCACCTTAGAACATGAACACACACACACACACACACAGAAAGAGAGAGGGAGGGAGGGAGGGAGGGAGAGAGAGAGAGAGAGAGAGAGAGAGAGAGAGAGAGAGAGAGAGAGAGAGAGAGAGAGAGAGAGATGGAAGCAAGCAAAGAAACAAAAGTCATCCAAAAAAAAGGGAGAAAAGTGGAACCAACCTTCCAATCACCTTTGCAAGTGGCTGAGAGGACTGTAAATACCTGGAGGGAGTCAGATCAACATCTCCAGTAGAACCTGCCAATGCATGGAGTAGAGATAAGTAGACAGAGGCGGGGAATGTCTTGCTCAGCTTTGTTGTGCATAGATGGCTAATATAAATTCCTTGTTTGTAAATAATGTTCCAAAGGTGCTTTTCAAAAGGCAACTGGACTTTCTTGGTTTTTTCACTCCTAATCCAAAGCGAGATTCAATCAGAACTGAAGAAGCTTCCTTGGATGAGAAGCAAAATATTTTCAAGGAAAAAAACCAAGAAAGTTCAGCTGCCTTTTGAAAAGTACCTTTAGGACAGCCATGACCTGTATGAATGAGAATTTTCATAGACATTTGTAAATAATGGTTTGTAGCTTTCTATATTATATGAGCTCAAACAATTTTAACTTACTTAATAAACAACTCATGAAGAAATGTTCGAATCAGGCCATAGCTTCACCACCTTAGATTTGCAATAGACATTAAATCTAACCTTGAAGTGGTTTCGTCTTTTAAAATGTCAAAATTGCCAATTTTACTTACATTCATATTTGCAGATCCAGATGTTTCTTTGCCAGGTTTCAATAGTGAGAACTTGGATAAGTTTCAAGATGAGCTTCAGCTTGCTAAACTAATCTCACTTCTTACATGCAAATTTTAGAATGACTCTCATTCAAGCAGCATCAATCTCTTGTGCAAATGTTGTTTTGATTTGAACTTCAGTCAAGTCACAAGCAATAGCTATATGTGAGCAATAATTCCATTCTTCAGTTACTCCCCAAGAGATGGCAGTAAGCAACTGTTAAATTGAATAAGGCAAACAATAACATAAAATCCCAGAAAAAAAATTTCGTCTTAAAAGCCTGGCTTCCTATCTACCTTATTAATCTAAGGAAAAGGAAAAAAAATAGAATTTATACCAAGTTTCTGTCTAAATGTCATAATACAGTAACTGGTTAGTAGAGCATGAGTGCAAACATCCTTCATACTTATAGTTTGAAACTATACTCCAGATACCAACATTTATAATTCTTGGATTGGAGATTTCAGTATTTGTGTTTTATAATGGTTGTCTTCAACCTGCAGTGCAGGTTCCTGCTTTCCTCAGATTGAAGCTCCAGAAGTAGATGTAACTATTCTGGTTGTTTCTTTTGCTCAACTCCATATTTTATAGGTGAGCTGAAGCAAGAAATAATGTAGCTGGGGAAAAGGGGATCCTGGAGTCAATGTTCCTAATTTATTTCCTGGAAGAACTGCACAGCATTTTATTCCTCCATCAAACTGTTCTAATCCCTTTCCAAAAGGCATCTAAATTCATAGAAATAACTATGGTGCAGCAATGAATTTCACAAATTCAGTGCATGGAGCAATCAAGTAGGGGAAGGCAGCCTGAGACCTCTTTTGCCACCTTTGACTGGTGTACTCTATAATTTTGTCTCCTCAGTCTGATGCTATTGAGTGTCAAAAAGCTTTGATAACCCTTCTTCCTTCCAGCAGTTCTGACAAGGCAGCTGACTCTATTTTGTTTTTCAGAGTGTGCCTGCAACATGTTGGGCAGTCGCAGAAATGTACCCTGTGATGATGAAACTGGACGCTGTTTCTGCCTTCCTAATGTGGCAGGAGAGAAGTGTGATGAGTGTGCTGTGAATCACTGGAAAATTGCAAGTGGGGAGGGCTGCTGGCCTTGCAACTGCCACCCTCAGAATTCACTCAGCCTTCAGTGCAACAAGGTAGCCACTGCAAAGAAGAAAGAGAGCAACTGCTTTCAATTCGTGAGGGTGGGAAGGCAGAGAGGAATATGAAACCATCGCAATTCACAGCTCCATGAGCAGGGCACTCAACAGTCTGTTCCTGAGAGGAAGACACTGTTTTGTTCTTCTGCTACAGAAGCTTCTAGATGATGCTGAATCGTCCAGTCTCATCCACATAAAATTCACAGGAAGAAATGTTTTGAAAGGAGCACTCCTTTGAGGTTTTCCCATACTATCTTTCATTCTTTGTCTTTAGCACAGTTGTTCCATTGAGGGGTGGGAAATAGAATAGCTTCCCAACTAGAAGCCTGACATCTTAGAACATCTTTTCTTAAACTTTATTGTTTATGAGAGAGTGATGGAATGTCTAACAACCTTGGGAACATAAAGAAAGGAGGAAAGTATTACAGAGACGAATCCTCAGTTCTGGGGAATGAAAAGTGTGAGAAAGAGCCTAAGAATGCTAGGTATGAGTAGATCTGGAGAACTGTTTTGATAGGCCTTCAAGGTTCTGTGTCTCCTCAATCTGATACTATTACTAGAATAAAGATCATTCCAGAAATCAAGTGTTTCTTATTTCCTGCCAGTCTTAGGGGCTTGATACGTTTATTATTTATTTATTTATTTATTTATTTATTTATTTATTTATTTATTTATTTATTTATTAATATAATTTATAGGCCGCCCAATCCTGAAGGACTCTGGGTGGCTTACAAAAAAAAGAAGAAAAGATAATAAAAAGAAAAGACAGATTTAAAATCATCACACATGCATTTTTTCTGTTTCTAGGAGTTTCTAGGAGCATTCAAACGAGATTGCTTCTGTTTTTTTTCGTCCTTGAGAAAAACCATAGAAGAACTGCTGGTGCCATCTGCAGCTCTGTACCTCAAATGGCAGCTTTGCTTTAGGTTATGTTACTGACATTCCTAGCTAGAAGAATTGTGCTTGAACAGGCTTTGAATAACGCACCTGAAACTTGGGAGCCATTTAAAGCTTAGGAGCCATTTAACATTTAGACTCTTCTACTGCCTTTCAAGTGTAGTGGAATTGTAATTCTCAGGAAGACTGGCTTCCAAAGACTGGACAGGCTAATTCTTAAAGCAGCAATCCTACTTCAATATCCAGTTGACAAAATCTAAATTAATCTGAAAGCTCTAGATTGTTGTGATGACTGAACTTTAAAACCAAGCAAGGATTTAGCTGCAGATGCCTCTTGTTCCAAAGCCAACACTAGGCTTGGAACAAGACTTTACCCATCAGAAGAGCCTACTGTCTTCTGTGCCACAGCTTGATCTCTACCTTTCAAGCCTCCCGTGGCCTGTTCTGTTCTCCAGATTATTGGACAAAGCTTTGTAGTTCTGTGTTGATGTCCTTTCCTCAGTGACATTTCTGTTTTTCTTTGTAGTTTACAGGGCAATGTCCATGCAGGGAAGGCTATGGTGGACTGACGTGCTCTGCTGTTGAAGTACAAGAATGTCCACACCAGACATTTGGAAATGTTAGGACTGGATGTAGAGGTATGGAAAGTTGGGCATATCTGCTTGGAGACTTCTGTATATCTTATTGCTAACCATCTGTCCTCAACATTAGGATTTTTCTGTTGACATCTGTTTCTGCTCTAATTCTTATCAGAGATTTGTAACCATTTCCTTTCCGACTTCCTCCTACTTGTTTAGCTTATATATTATTTTCTTAGTATTCCATATGATGGAAATTTAGTAAACATTTAATAACAAGTTTATCTATTCTAGTTTGGATATGAAATGAGAAAACACTCTTAAAATATCATGTATAGGGGAGAGTTATCATGTATTTTTATCCAGTCAGTCCTATTATTTTAAATTGTGCAAATTTTTAAAGTACTGTAAGCTGTCCAGAGAGGATTTTTCGAAGTTGGTCAACTTGAAAACACACACACACACACACACACACACACACCTCCAAGTAGTATTTTTGACTTCTGCTTCCTTTCTTCCTGTTTAGAAGGATTTCCTTCTCTGTAATGTGAATTTAACTGTAAAGTGAATTTAACACTTAGAAAGATAGATATGTTACATATTTTATGGATAATAAATTTTAGCATTTAGTCTCTTTTTCTGCATAATCCCTATTTTTTGGAATAGACAATATAATACTTATAGGAATGAAATATGCCTGTAGTTACTTCCTTTATTGGATTCTAGTTCTCTATCCAATTCAATTCAATTCAAACCTTTATTGTCAGAATACAACATATGTACAATGAAATTGGCTGAGCCTCCCTTTGTGCAACCCCCCAACACAATACAACTCACAGTGAAAGACAAAAAAATCCCTAGCCCAGTGAATCCTACTAACAAACACCCAGTCCTATTGCACCATGTAAACTTATTGCACATCACATGGCCCTACAAGTCAATTGTACTATGTTGTTGTAGTCAATTGTACTATGTTGTATTTTTCATTCAGGAGTTTGACAGCCCACAGATAAAAACTATCCCACCTAACTTAATTTCTTACATCTTTAATCATATAATATCATATATCATAATGTAAACAATACACTTATTATACACTTATAATACAGTAAATAATACACTTATTATATAGTACCAATCTCCAGTATCATTTTAATTTTTAGTAATAGCCCCCTAGCCATTCCGATGGGAAAAACTGAAGGTTCATTTTAAATATTTCACAGAGTGTTCAAAAAGTATGCCCTGCAAAAAAAAAAAAGGGGGGGAGGAGACCCAATCTGATAGGGAGTAATCTGGAGGCTACACAGGTGGGTAGAAACATCCCAGTAAAGTAGACTAGAAACTGACTAGAACTCTGTTTTATTAAGATAGGCTATAGCAACAAAATCTTGAAAGCGGTTGTGGTTTTCTTTCTCTCCCTCACATATCCCAGGGAGTTAGGAAGAAAGGAATAGCCTGATTCTCTTCTCAATAATATTTCTCTTTCCAGAGCTTCAAGAATGCTTCCCCCCCCCTTTTGTTTATGTTTCTGAATATTTGCTTGGCTGAATATTTCCATAGCTCTTTGTAGATAGATAATAACGTCATTGGTTTGTCTCCTGATAAAAATATGTTTTTGTGGATTAGCTCGCTCTCAGCTTTCTCCTACAAAATGCTCTCAGATGTTAAATGACCTGGCCGGCTTAGATGGTGATGATGCTAATGATAATGATGAATGAATCTACTGAAGGTTGAAGGCAATATATGAGAAGAAACCTCTAAGTAATTGTTGGTTGTTTTTTGGGGGGCTGTCTTTATAGATTGTGACTGCAATTTCCAAGGCACAGAGGTAATGGGCTGTAACAAACTGACTGGTAGCTGCCTTTGCCGCTCTGGGTTCGCAGGACCCCAGTGTAACCAGTGCCAACGGGGCTACTGTGGCAACTATCACCAGTGTGACGCCTGCCATCCTTGTTTCCAAGCCTATGATGATGATATTCAAAGGTTTGGCTTACGTCAGGCCTCCTTGAAAAATTCAACACAGCACTTGCAAGGAGGGACAATGACTTCTGGCTACAGTACCCGCCTTTTAGAAATGGAAAGAAAAATGCAGCACATTCAACAGATGTTGGACAATCCCCTCATTACTGAGCAGGGACTGGACCAGGTGGCCAATGCCATTGCTACAATAAGGTAAGCTTTCTTTTTCTTTAGATTTGCCAGCACCAAAGAAGGAGTGACGACCCCCCCCCATATATATGTATGTATGTGTATGTGTATGTGTATATGTATATGTATATGTATATGTATGTATGTATGTATGTATATATATGTATATATATATATATATATATATATATATATAT